CAAAAGGAGCAGGCTGGACCACGTGGCCTCTATGGTCCTAATACCAAAAGGCTCCAAGTGATATTTTTATGTGGCATTATGATGCATCTTTTGTGATCAATCTGGTTTTTTAGACATTACTCTGACAAGCTTAATGGGCAAAATATAGAGTAATGATCCATGGCAGATCTAATAATCAACCGTGCCACAGCCTGATACTTCTGTCAGCCATAGCCATACCCAGACTAAGTTGCTCTTCTAATGTTCATGAATATTCAAACACAAACAGGACTAATCTACCTCCTTCTAAAGGAGGTGATTAATAGGTCCCAGGAGCAGACCCCTGGATACCTTGACACTCCACAGTGATTTCTCACATCCCTTAGGTTCCAGCAATCAGGGCTTCCTCACTGCAGACAGCAGCCTCTACCCGGGTAGTTTAAACAGTAAGAAACTGAGTAAAGGGTATTACTCAGCTCATTAAATCTCTGTGAGAGCCAGAGACCAAGCTTGGGTGCTCTCCAAGGATCAGGATAGCCAGGAAAAAGCCTAACCACGCCCTCTCACTGTCTAGTAGAAACCCTCCTGGAATCAGCACCCATCACAAGAGACCAAACTCCTACAAACTCCACTACAGCCACCCCACAAGACCAGATGTCCCTGCCACTATGACTGACAGAAGATGTCACCTGCCTGCCAAAGACTTCAGCTCACGGGACTCGCCTGCACATCCAGGTCTGGATGATTCACCTGGCTGCTTGGGGGGATCTGTGTCAAAGGCCTGCACCCTGGCTGCAAAGGAGTCTGGGAAACATGGATTTAGCTTTCCAACCTCTGCAGTGCAGGAAAGCCAAGTGAGATGGGTTAGAAACAGTTGTTGATTGAACCAATGACAGCATCTGTTACTGCGGCACCTGACAAAGCTTACCTGGTGAGGAAACTGAGAGGACTCAGCAGGCAACTCTGTCTGAAGGTTTCCTCTCCGCTTGCCACTTGATTTTCTTGACATGTGGCCACTGGTGTCTTGGAGCCAGCTCGCGGCGGCTTGTGAGATGATCAGGAATGTTCTGAGTTAGCTGTTTTGACTCAGACATTATTCAAAACTAAATTATACAAACTTACATTCAAAGAAATTCAATTAAAAACAAAGGCAACACATACTCAGAACTCATCACATCCTAGTCATTCTACGACATGTTCCTCTTCCCTACGCTGTAGACGCTGCTCCACCTGTGGGTGTGGGGGCTTGCCACTGTCCACTCCTCCTCACGCCACATCTAGCAATATGGTGAGTGGCTGGAAATCAGCCAGAATGGGATCATTTATGGAAATGCTATGTTGTTTTGTTCATTGTCTGGACTTAAGAAGGCAATGGGAAAAATTGTCAATAATATAGATTAAACTGAAACTGTTGTCTTGTCCACGGCTGCTGTATTGTGAATACCATGCAATGTCAGAGAACTCCCCACCCCACCTTCCTTCTCCCCCAGCCCTAGCACAGACGGAGGGGCTGAAGCAGTCACACTATGCCCAGCCTTCCAGACCATCAGGTCCAGCAGAATGGGCACTCAAGCCTCAGGGTCCTTGCTGGTTTCCAGCGCAGACACCTACAGAGGTTCCATCCACACTTCTGGAGCCTGTGGCCAAACTCACAGTCAGAGACCTGAGATTCTAGATGTCCTCCAGTGGAAATTATAACACACTGCTATTTCCCTCCAGAGCTTGCAGCTCTGCCCTTGTGTGCAGACTTCAGATGACCCTCAAGAAGCAGCCCAGAAAGAAAAATGACTGAGCTGCATCTGTGACCTTCTCACACCGAAACACCATCAGGGATGCCATGCTGAGACTCAGGGCACAGAGAACACCTTCAGCAGCCTGCCTGGCCAGGATCAGTGTCACCCCTACCACCCACTGGACTGCTGGCCCCTGCGGAGAGAGAGCCTGTGTCTGATCTATCTCTGTAGCCCCCACAGGGTATCTCAGGAAGAGCAGGATGGTCCCCCTTTGACCCCGGTTCTTAAACCAGCTGGCAGGAGGGAGGAGTATGTGCTCTCTACGACAAGAGCAGGCATCAGATGGCTTGGTTTATGCTACTCAGCACCCTTCCTAACCAAACCCGGTTTCAGCTTGAGAAGCTGCTTATGTGTGCCTGGTACTGGAACTCTCCAAATAGCTCAATCCTGGTCTTTTTTTGAGCTTATTTCTGCAGTTCTCCTTCTGACACTGTGATCTACCTGTCACAATAGCCTTCTAATTAATTCCTTCTTGACAAAGTTGGCCAGAGTCTGTAACTGCGGTTTGCATCCAAAGAGTCCTGATTGCTATGGATGTGACAACTCACCCCAGCTCAGAACGCTATGCCTCCAGGACTCTCCCAGGGAACAATAACAATCACACACACACACACACACACACACACACACACATGGCTGCCACCCAGAGGTGCCGGCTCAGCCCTGCCCCTGCACCTGTCAGCATCTAACAGCAGCTGCCACATTCATAGAGAACATAGGGCTTCCGCCTGCCAACCCTGACTTAATCCAACTGTGTCTGCACCCTGGTTGAGGGCAGCTTTCCTTCCTTGCTGGTTGCCATGCCCATTTTCTCCTGACCCTCAGCAGTGCCAGGCCTCTTCAGGCACTGGGGATAGAAGCTCTGCAGGCACAGGTGCACAGAGGGACAATCACTGGAACAATGCACATGCAGGCTTGGCAGGATGGGTCTGGCTGTGCCTGGCCCCACCCCTGCACTGAGGGACAGCAACCTCACCATCTGGCCCTGCCCCTGGAAAGAGCATAGGTAACCCCATCTCCACTCACCAGAAGTGCTTACTCTTACTTTTCCCCACACATAAATCCACTCACTTCTCCTCTGTTCCCCAGCAGAGGTTTACCAACTGTCTGCCTGTGCCCAACTGCTGGACACCCATGGGTGGCCCAGCCTTCAACCCACCCTGGAAGTGCCCACAGTGCAGAAGGGAAGACATGCAGTGACCACATGTGAAGGTGGCACCCATGGGGAGGAGGCGTCAGCCCTGCTGGCATGCCTTCATCTCTACCTGCCCTCACCAGCCCCACCCCTAAGTTCTGGAAGCTAGAACTCCAGTTCTTCAAGTGCCCCAGAGCTGGTGAGCAGCACTGGCAGAACCAGATTCCACTGAGCATTCCATTATTTTCATCCTTAGAAAATATTTATCCCAGGGCTCAGGGATAATCTAGGAGTGGGTGAGTGCCTTATTCACTGGGGCCTCCCTGGCTTGCTACTCATAAATATAACCTGGGCCAAACCAGCTCCTTCCTCTCCCTACTTCCTGCCCACGCAGGAAAGGAGGTTCCTGGGTCCAGACCCTTCTTGCAAGAGCTCTCAAGGAGATGAGACGGAGAAGCCAACCTTCTTGTGGAGTGAAAGCATAAGAGCAATCAGAGAGAAGGCAGGAAAAGTGAACACAAAACCTTAGCATGTCCTTTTGCCACAAGCTTTGGACCAGCTCCTGTGGGACATTGCCACCCCACCTTGCCCTGCACACCACCCTGTGTGACTCCTGGAAGTCCAGGTCCTTTGTCACATGGAGAGGACGCAAAACAGGTGCTGCAGCAGGCTCTGCGCCACTCCTGATGCTCTTTCCGAGCAGATTCCTCAGAGGGGGTGTGTGACATCAGAGATGAATGTCAGCCAGTGTCTCCCAAAGAGGCAGATGCAGACACATCACTCCTCTCTGTGACCCTGAGCAAAGCACTCAACCTCTCTGAGCCTCAGGTTTCCATCTGTAAAATGGGCTCAGGCTAAGTTGTCTCTCCAGCCCTTCCCAGACCTACCCATCTATGACTAATTGGAGGAAGCCAGTTCTCCCTCTTTCTCCAGGAATAACTGGTCTGCTTGAAGCCCCATTGCTGAGCTTCCATGATCTCACACAGGAAGACACACACACACACTCACACGCATACACACACAAGATGTGTACACAGACACATATACACTCACACAAACACATACACTTATATACTCATACATACACACACACTCACACACATACATACACTCTCACATACATATACTCATAAACTCACACCACTCATATAGACATTACAGACAAACACACACACACACACACACACACACACACACACACACACGAATGAATACACACATGCCGGCTTGCATTCACATTCGCTCTTTCCTTCCCTCTCAAAGACAGTTCTCTAGAGGACAGCTGCAACCCACACAATGCCCTACCCAAGCGTAGAAGACTGTCCTTACTCTTCCTGGTCCTGCTGTGCCTGGAACCACCTCCGCAGGTGCCTCCCTGGGCTACATTTGCTGCCCACAGCAACATAGCCTGAACATGAGAATGGGGTGCAGTTCCCTGAGCTGGGACACGACAACCCCTTCTCAGCACTAAAAAGGGTAACACCTTTACAGCAGCATGGAACATTTGCTATCAGGATGCTTCATGGTATGAAAATAGGAGTCACCATTTATTGCTACATAAGTGTCGACATGACAAACAACAGTATTAATAAATGAATAAAGTACCTTGTTCATTGCATTTTCATAAAAACCACGAGGGAGGCTATGTGTCTCAATCCAGGAACATTTATCTCCAATCTGCCAAAGGCCATCCTGATAAACTCAGGGCAGTCCCAGCTTTGAGAGACCATTGTGGATCCAGATACCACCAACTGATGAATTAAATATCCCACCCGGCTTCATGCTCCAGCAATGTTAACACCCACATCTTAATGAGAAGGAGGAGGAGGATGGAGAAAAGGAGGAGAAGAAATTAGGAACTAGCTGGGGACCTTTCATCCCATCTGGGACCCACAAGGGTCACCACTGTCGCCTGCATCAGCACTTCATGGAGTAAGGTCAGTGACGCAAGGGCACAGGATGTCCTCCAGAACCCCAACAGAACAAGGGCCAGACCGAAGCCCTGAAACGTGGCAAAAGAGTCTGGCATGGTTTGACCCCAGGGAGCCCCTGCCAGCCCCTCATGCCCGTCTCTCCCTTGCCTCCAGACTCACAGCCTCCTTCTTACTCTAGGATCTTTCTCAGGGCCAGCGTCAGATTTGAGTCTCATCCACCTCCAGGCTTCATGTCCAGCACATATCAGACAGCACCTCAGATGGGGGATCTGATTCCAGGTCACGCCATGCCCTGGCCAGGGCATTCTGAGTCAGGGCCCTGAGCACATGAACAGCTGCCCAGCACTGCCTGACTTCTGCTTTCCTCGGGGGACCCACCTACGCCCTTTGCACCTGCAGATCCTCCTCTATCCAGACTGCTGTGGGCACAGTGGAGATGCGCCTTCCTCCCCTTCACAGACACCAGCTGCCCTAGACAGCAATGGATCTACACAGCCCTTGTTCTCCTTGCTCCAAACATGATATGAAAAGATGCTTTGTGGTTGTCAGCTCTCCTCAGTAGGCTCATTGCATGCCCGGGCTCTCGCCCCCTGACACTCTTTAGTGGTCCTCGTCACTCATCATTGTGAGTGTCCTGGGGAGGGCTCCTCTTGTCCTCCTTGGCCCCCATCCCTCTGACCTCAGCAAGACATCTTTCTGAGCCACACAGATGTCTCTCATTGCCACCGATGTCCTTCCTACTTGAAAAAAGCAGATTTAATTTCAGGACTCCCCCACCACTTTCAGAGCTCTTGCATCATGGGGAATGAAGTGATGATCTTCAAAACTTACTGAAACCGAGCTCCCCAAGTCTACAGGGGATCTTACTATGTTGGCCCTCCCCACCAACACAGAACTCATCTCCCCAAGGCTCCCAACCCACTTGGGTCACCAGTCAGGATCCCCTATTACCGAGCTCCGCAGGTGTTGCATCCTGGGAGATGAAGCCTCACAACCCCATGGTGTTAAGAGCTTGTGGTTCTCGGTTTATTACCCATCCCCTGGGCCCTGACTGTACACCGATCATTCCCTCATTTTGGAACCACTGGCCACATTCTCCCACATTACCTGTCTGTCTATACCTTAACCAGGTTGTCTTATGTAACCTTCAAGCCTTCCATCCAAAACAGACGTTAAGTGCACAGGCTCCAGGGTCAGAGGCCTGGACTCCAATCCAGCTCTGCTCTATCCAACCTGTGACCTTGGGCAAGGTACGGATGCCTCTGTTTTCTGATCTGTAAAGAGGGTTACCTTGGTGCTCTCTTCACTGGGTTGTTGGAAAGATTAGAAGGATTGATACAGAGAAAATGCCAAGGAGCCTGGCTCAGTAAACGTAAGAGGGATCAGTTCTTATCACACTGAGTGCAAAGGGACAGAGTCCACCCCATGGTGGCCTTCCCGTTACTCCTGAGCTCTCAGTGACCAGCACCCAACAGTGGTTAATGAATGAACAAGCAGCCTGGGCATTGTTCTCCTTCCCACTCTACCTACAGAGCAAAGAACTCTTGGCAAACAGCTGGATGACTGCTTTTTCCTGAGATGTCTGAAGGCACTTCCTGCCCCAAGCCAACTGGCCAGCCTCCAGCTGTTCTGAGCTGCAGGTCAGGCACCAGATCTTATTCAGAGACACCATGTACTCCCCACCCCCCACGTAGTGCTTTGCTGCATCTGCCTTTCTCTTCAGTTAAAACACACAAGAGCAGAAAATACCTCGTCTTCCAATCCTTTGGTGTCCCTAGTCTCTGGAGAAGCTCCCCAGATCCTTTTGGAATATTCCAGGGACAATCATCTACAGGCTTTTTCTGCATTTGGATTGTGAGGTCCTGGGGTTTCCTAAGAAAGGGGGTACACCTGTCTCCAGGCATCCCCCTGGCTCTGGCACACTGAGGAAATTCATCACTGAAGGTGATCCAGGCTTTCCCAGAGGCTGGCTGGTGGTGCTGGGGTGATGAGCACTTCCTGGCCAGCCCTTACAGGCTCTGTGGCCGGTTATGCCTGGACCCCTCTAGCAGCAACGCCTGCTGCATTCCAGCAAAGCCAAGTGCAGGAGACCGAGGACACGGCCACTCCCCATGGCAGCAGGGAGGGCGGCCCTAGGACAACATAATTTGGCCACGTGGACCCTCATGGAGTGGATGTGATCCCATCACCCACTCAGATGCCTGAGACTGTGCAGAGGGCACATTCAGTGCTTCAAGGGGCCCTGCTGTGTGGATTGACAGCCTGCCATGGACATGCTGAAGATGGCCAGGACATAGAACAGGGAGCTGCGTTCTGTCAAACAATGCCAATAGGCAATGGCTGGTGCCATGTGGAGTGATATTTTAGATATTACATGTGCCAAGGCTGCAGCAACATGGAAGTCACATAACGGGACGGAATTAGCCCTGGTCACTCAGGCTCCAGGGCACAACTTGTGTTCCAGTCAGCCCTGCCACTCACTACCTGCCTGACCTGGGACAAGCACTCTGGGCCTCCGTCTCTTCACAAGTAAAGTAAGAACGGTGATGTTCACTTCAGGGGCTGGCGGACAGGACTCAGCAGGGCTCTGTGCATGCCAGGTAGCCAGAGCATAAGGAATGGCAACTCTCTTCCTGATACAACCAGAGAACAAAGGTGGAGCCTGAGAGGGTGGTCCCAATTTCACTGGCAGCCTTCAGGAAAAAAGTCCATGATTTTACTTAGGCTACTTCATCCGACCTTCCCAGATTCCAACAATAGCATCTTCTAAGGATAAAAACACAGTGACGTTCTTACAGAGACACAGACCACTAATGAATAAAAATAAGTTTAAAAGTATTGAAACTTGACTTATTTTTTAAATAATTGGTGTGAATATCTGTTTCAAACAAAAGTTGCCACCTCTTGGATGTCTGAAAAGAAATCTGACATGCAAAGCAGACATGATGATTCTAAATCATTTGGAAAGCCTATTATCCCTCCCCTCAGAATCCTCATACACTGGGGATAAGGGATTAAATAAAAAACCAATTTCCCTTTTTTTTTTTTTTTTTTTTTGAGATGGAGTCTCGCACTGTTTCCCAGGCTGAAGTGCAATGGCGGGATCTCAGCTCACTGCAACCTCTGCCTCCCAGGTTCATGTGATTCTCCTGCCTTAGCCTGCCGAGTATCCGGGATTACAGGCACACAACACCACACCTGGCTAATTTTTGTTTTGTTTTGTATTTTTAGTAAAGATGGGGTTTCATTATGTTGGCCAGACTGGTCTCGAACTCCTGACCTAGTGATCCAAAGTGCTGGGATTACAGGCACGAGCCACCATGCCCAACAGACAATTTAACTTTTTAAGCTAGAAAAAAAAGCCTCACAAATCACAGTTTCATGCACATACCTATGAATTTGTCCAAAATTCTTTGAATCTAGCATATGTAAATTTTTTCACTGAACACAATACAATGCGTTCCTTCATCAAATTTAATTTCTGTTTAATTCTTTGTGATTTATCTATGATGGAATTTCCATTTCTGTATCAATCAAAAGTTAAATTAGTTGAATTTTCATTAAAGGTCATAATAAGCTACAATATCAGGTTAAATTATTTCCAAGAAGCGAAAACTTCATGCTTTGTTGGTATTCAGAAACAAATAATGGCTCTTTTATAACTTAGTGTATATATATTATGTATTTGTGTGTATTTGCACATATAAATATATATGTTATAAAATATCATTAAAAATTAAATCACATCTCTCTGACACGTTTACATTTTAATCAAGAAATGAAAAATTGTCTCGATATAGTTCTATGTTTTCCCTCAAAAATGAATGAGGCTTGATTTTCTAGAGTTCATCACTTCTGCATCTACGACAATCTTTGACACTAACATGAAATACCTTCCCCTTGGCCCTCCTACCTAATGTACATAAAATCATTAATTTCAAAATGCCATAATTACTGCCATAAAATGTCTAATGTCTCCCTCAGGAGTAATTAAGTAACTTCATTTCTGCACATCGGTGGCATTGGCAACTACATATTTTAGAGATTTACTGTTAATTTCTTATTTCCAAGCTCCCTCAAATGTTTCAAGTGCAAAGTCCTGGCCTCCCACTGTCTTCCCACAACACTGCTCTGAATTCTGTCCCTTTCCTCCCCTGCACCTGACATTGCACACCCTGCCCGAAGGCAGGTGTGGGTGGGAACGCCCCCTAAATGCTTCTGCAAGGCTTAGCTTCCTGCTGTGCTGTCTGTGTCTATTAGTAAAGGCAAAATGTCAAGGAAAGGATTCAATCAACCCCTTGTCTCTAAACCCAGGTATGTTCTTTCAGCTCATTCTAAAAACTCATTATAATGAGATCATTGGTATTTTTCCCCCCAGGAAAGGCAGTGAACAGGTTACATGCCCAGATCTTTGGATATAATCTGTTGGAGAAAGGATCTGGGGCCAATGCATGGTTCTTACCCTACTGACCAGCCCAAGCCTGGGCTGAGAATAAAAGAGCAATACAGGATAAACCCAGGGAGGGACAGAAGGGGGGATGAAAAGAACTGCAGCCTGAAAGTCACCCTAGGAGAAAAAAAAAATCATAGGCAGAATTCTTGAGTGCTGAAAAGCCAACGGGGAGAGGGAGAAGGTGGGGGAGAAGAATAAAGAAAGAGAGGGAAACAGGGATGGGGGGAGGGGGGGAGGGAGAGAGAGAGAGAGAGAGAGAGAGAGAAAATGAAAACAGGAAGACAATAAAGAGGAGATAGAGGAGAAAAAGTGGGAAAAAAGAAAGGGAACAGAAACGGGGTTGGGACTCGGAGAGGACGTGGGAGAGAGCTAGAGGAAGCTGGCGACAGAGGGAAAGAAAGGACCCCACAGTCAAAGGCAGGACTCAACAGCCCTGTCCTGGGGAAATGCAGTGGAAGCGAGATGGACCCCGCCGCCCGCGCCCGCTCGCGGCTCCGTCACTGCAGACAGGCGGGGGCGCCTCACCTGGGCTCTCCGGAGAAGTGGGGCACGGGGCGCTGGTGCAGTACAGCCTCCTCCGGGCCCAGAGCCCAGCGCGCGGCTCTGAACTTGGCGCTGGAGCCCTGAGGGTGGCCAGGTCCCGCCCCACAGCCGCTCCCGCCTTCGGGGCGTGGCCTCGGCGTCTCCAACCCCCAGGGAAGCTCCGGCCTTCGGGGCGGGGCTTGCGGGTGGGCGGCCCTGGAGGGGGAGGGCGCAGCGGATCGCACCACCCGCAACGCGGGAGAAAAGTCGGTCTCATCTGCTGGGCGGCCCGGCCCTCCCCGGGTTCAGCCCCGCGGAGACGCCCCCAGCTGGCTCCCGTTGAACCCGGCTCCGGCGCCTGCGGAAGGGCTAGGGCGTCCTTTGGAGGTATCACCCGCTCCCGCCGCCGCCCTCTGGTCCTGGGCGCCCCGACCTCTCGCTACTGGCCCCGCGGGGCCTCCGCGGTGCGGGCGGGGGCTGTTCCAGGTGCCCGCGGCTCCCGTCTGCACCGAGGACCCGTGCGGCCTCCTGGCCTTCTTTCCCCTCGTAGCGTGGCGGCCCCTAGAGCAGGACCTCCCCAGCGCCCGAATCACCCAGCTCCTCCCGGAGCGCCTGGCCACCTCTGCTCCCTAGGCCCCAGCTCTGACCGCGTAGCGCTCAGCCGGTAAGGCGGGCTCGGCGACCCCTGAACCCGAAGGTATCAGGGAACTTAACTGCCCCTGGAGGGTGGAAGGGGGTCAGGGTGGAAAATACAGTTCAAGTGCGTTACAATTAAGAACGTATGCTTTGATTAAAAAACAATAAACGGAGTGAAAAAGCCAGCCACACATTGAAAGAAGATATTTGCAGCAATTGATAAAGGATTAGTATCCAGGATATAGGAAGACTTTTAATAAAATAGTGTGAAAGAGAGGAACCCCCAAATCAAAGAATGGACACAGCCATGAATAGGCACTTCAAAGAGGAACCTTGAATGACCAAAATCATG